GGTCTAACCAAAGCAGAATAGAGGGGTAGCATTACTTCTTAGATCTAGACACTAGGCTCCTATTGATGCAGGCCAAAATCCCATTGGCTTTTTTTGCCGCCACATCACATTGTTGGCTCATGTTTAACTTGTTGTCCACGAGGACTCCAAGATCTTTTTCACACTTACTGCTCTCGAGCCAGGCGTCCCCCATTCTGTATCTTTGCATTTCATTTTTTCTGCCAAAGTGGAGTATCTTGCATTTGTCACTGTTGAACTTCATTTTGTTAGTTTTGGCCCATCTCTCTAATCTGTCAAGATCGTTTTGAATTCTGCTCCTGTCCTCTGGACTATTGGCTATCCCTCCCAATTTGGTGTCGTCTGCAAACTTGATGATCATGCCTTCTAGCCCTTCATCTAAGTCATTAATAAAGATGTTGAACAGGACCGGGCCCAGGACGGAACCCTGAGGCACTCCACTTGTCACTTCTTTCCAAGATGAAGAGGAAGCATTAGTGAGCACTCTCTGTGTTCGTCCACTTAACCAATTAGAGATCCACCTCACCGTAGTTTTGCCTAGCCCACATTGGACTAGTTTCCTTGCCAGAAGGTCATGGGGGACCTTGTCGAAGGCCTTACTGAAATCCAGGTACGCTACATCCACGGCATTCCCCGCATCTACCCAGCTTGTAGCTCTATCGAAGAAAGAGATCAGATTAGTCTGGCATGACTTGTTTTTGATAAATCCATGTTGACTATTAGCGATGACTGCATTTGTTTCTAAGTGTTTGCAGACCGCTTCCTTAACAATCTTTTCCAGAATCTTGCCCGGTATCGACGTGAGGCTGACCGGACGGTAGTTGTTTGGGTCATCCTTTTTTCCCTTCTTGAAGATTGGGACCACATTGGCCCTCCTCCAATCTGCTGGAACTTCTCCCGTTCTCCAAGAACTCTCAAAGATGGTTGCCAATGGTTCCGAAATGACTTCCGTTAGTTCCTTCAATACTCTGGGGTGTAGTTGATCTGGCCCTGAAAGGGGACTTGAACTCATTAAGAGCGGCCAGGGATTCCTGGACGACTTCTTTCCCAATTTGGGGTTGGATGTCCTCCAATCCCTCATCCACTCCATCTTGCTGAGGTTGAAGACTCTCTTTTTGTGAGAAGACCGAGGCAAAGAAGGCATTAAGTAGTTCTGCCTTTTCCCTATCCCCTGTCAGCATTGCCCCATCTTCTCCGCGAAGAGGTCCTATTAAATTGTATTGAAATCCCTTTGAACTTCCATTATGGCGAATAAAAATGGATATCAATAATAATAATCTATATATATTGAATGTTTTTATGTATGCGGAGGGCGGCGTACTGTATGTGGCAGCTTTCTGATTGGCTGCCACTTCCACAGGCCACTGCAACCTACACAAATAACTGACTTGGACCAAACTTGGTACACATAACCTCCAGCACCTACTTTACGTCCTGCTGCAGTTTGAGGGAGGATGAACCATGGATGATGGGATGTGCAGCACTTTCATTTGCTTCAGCTCCCATAGACCACTGCGATGCCCACCAATGTCAGACCTGGACCAAACTTGGCACACAGAGCCCCTCTGACCCAGTCTACACCCAGTCTACACCCAGTCTAGTATAGTTTGGAGGAAGATGGACCACGGATGATGGGACTTGCAGTACCTTCACTCATTTTGTGAGACCACTGGGAACCTCACCAATGACTGATCAAGACCAAACTTGGCAGACAGAGCCCCCATGACCCACTCTACATCCCGGTGTAGCTTGAGGGACTCTAAACACCTTTGCAGAAGCATACAAGAAGCAAAGCCTGCCTTGCTGTGAACGGATGGCAGGTGGGTTTGTGGTGTCTCTCCTTCACACAGCTATGCAGGGATGTGATGGGAATGTTCAGGGCCCAATTCAATCATTGATGGGGTTCAGAATGCTCTTTGATTGTAGGCGAACTATAAGTCTCAGCAACTACAATTCCCAATGACGGAATTTGCACTGAGTGTTTGTTCATAGTCCTAAGTTGCAGGGACTTTGCAGATAGGTGGCTCCTTTGGCTGCATTCATAGGGCAAGCCACCTGTCAACAATACTTAGGATCCCTGGTCCCACCCCTCTCTAGTTTTTTGGAGGGAAGGGGCCATTTTTCAGTTAGTCTCAGCAAAGAAAGTCTATGCAGAGGATGTATACAGACGTCCTCCTGTGCAAAGACTTCGTCCCTTAAGACTTCCCGGGGGAGAACAGTCTAAAAAGCCTCTAAATATTCTCAAAGGTTCCGGGGAAACAGCCTTACAGCCCTGAGGAATTTCGGAGGGAATGACAGCTCTAATCGTCAAGATCTCCGGCTAAGTGACTACAGGCCTGTTGGTATGTCTGCTCGGTTCTGAGACGCAGTTCAGCTGGTAGTGGATTCAAATCAGTCAGGTTTGGGTTCACAGTAGCCTGGGAGGAGCTAGAAACGGGAATTTTCTTTTGAACAAAGTTATTGAAGATAGTGCCTTTTCCCTGTGGACAAGTTTGAGAGAACTGGTTTCTTTACCAAGAAAGCTTTACAATTCCTGTTTGTTCATCAATAAAAGACTGTTATATTTAAGCTCAAGCCTCCTAAAGACTGTTTAATGGGGGAAATTTCTCTAAAGGCTTCTTTTCGGGGGCCCTGGCTTCCCGCCGGATTCAAGCCATACATCCTCTCTTAAAGGCATTTCATTTCAGGTCCAGCGGCGACAGAACAAGGATGCTGAAATGGTGTCAAATTTGTGAAGGAAAATACATCCTGCATATCCGATATTTACATCATAACAGTAGCAAAGTTGCAGTTACGAAGTAGCAACAACAATAATGTTATGTTTGGGGGTCACCACAACATGAGGAACTGTATGAAGGGGTCGTGGACATTAAGAAGGTGGAGAAGCACGTTTGAAATGATCGAAGGTCTGGAGAAATGATCAAGGGTCTGGAGAAATGATCAAGGGTCTGGAGAACAAGCCCTATGAGGAGCGGCTTAAGGAGCTGGGCATGTTTAGCCTGAAGAAGAGAAGGCTGAGAGGAGATATGATTGTTGTTCATTCGTTCAGTCGTCTCCGACTCTTCGTGACCTCATGGACCAGCCCACGCCAGAGCTCCCTGTCGGCCGTCACCACCCCCAGCTCCTTCAAGGTCAGTCCAGTCACTTCAAGGATGCCATCCATCCATCTTGCCCTTGGTCGGCCCCTCTTCCTTTTGCCTTCCACTTTCCCCAGCATCATTCCCTTCTCTAGGCTTTGCTGTCTCCTCATGATGTGGCCAAAGGACTTCAACTTTGTCTCTAGTCTCCTTCCCTCCAATGAGCAGCCGGGCTTTCTTTCCTGGAGGATGGACTGGTTGGATCTTCTCGCAGTCCAAGGCACTCTCAGGACTTTCCTCCAACACCACAGTTCAAAAGCATCTCTCTTCCTTCGCTCAGCCTTCCTTGTGGTCCAGCTCTCACATCCGTAGGTGACTACAGGGAAGACCATGGCTTTGACTAGGCAATGGATCTTTGTTGCCAGTCTGATGTCTCTACTCTTTACTATTTATTGAGACTGGACATTGCTCTCCTCCCAAGAAGTAAGCGTCTTCTGATTTCCTGGCCACAGTCTGCATCTGCAGTAATCTTTGCACCTAGAAATACAAAGTCTGTCACGGCCTCCACGGTTTCTCCCTCTATTTTCCAGTTGTCAATCATTCTTGTTGCCATAATCTTGGTTTTTTTGACGTTTTGCTGCAACCCGGCTTTTGCGCTTTCTTCTTTCACCTTGAGAAGGCTCCTCAGCTCCTCCTCGCTTTCGGCCATCAGAGTGGTGTCATCTGCATATCTGAGGTTGTTAATGTTTCTTCCAGCCATTTTCACCCCAGCTTTGCATTCCTCAAGCCCCGCACATCCTCGCATGATGTGTTCTGCATACAAGTTAAAGAGGTTGGGTGAGAGGATGCAGCCTTGCCGGACGCCTTTCCCAATCTTGAACCAGTCTGTTGTTCCGTGGTCAGTTCTGACTGTTGCTCCTTGGTCCTTGTGCAGATTCCTCAGGAGAGAGGGAAGGTGGCTTGGGATGCCCATCCCACCAAGAACTTGCCACATTTATGATGATCCACACAGTCAAAGGCTTTAGAATAGTCAATGAAGCAGAAGTAGATGTTTTTCTGACACTCCCTGCCTTTCTCCATTCTCCAGCCTCCGGATACTGGCAATCTGGTCTCTCATTCCTCTGCCTTTTCTAAACCCAACTTGTACATCTGGCCACTCTCGCTCCAAGTCTTGCTGGAGTCTTCTTCCTTGCAGGATCTTGAGCATTCCCTTACTGGCATGATGAGAAATAAGGGCCACTGTACGGAAGTTTGAGCAGTCTTTCGCATTTCCCTTTTTTGGTATGGGGATATAAGTTGATTTTCCCCAGTCTGATGGCCATTCTTGTGTTGTCCATATTTGCTGGCATATGGCATGCATCACCTCGACAGCATCCTCTTTCAAGATTGTAAACAGTTCAGCTGGGATCCCGTCGTCTCCTGCTGCCTTGTTGTTAGCAATGCTTCTTAAGGCCCATTCCACCTCACGCCTCAGGATGTCTGGTTCTAAATCATTCACCACACCATACATCAAGCCATTCAAGCCATACATCCTCTCTTAAAGACACTTCATTTCAGGTCCAGCGGCGACAGAACAGGCGTGTTGGGTATTTGTGTCAAATTTGTGAAGGAAAATACATCCTGCATATCCGATATTTACATCATAACAGTAGCAAAGTTGCAGTTACGAAGTAGCAACAACAATAATGTTATGTTTGGGGGTCACCACAACATGAGGAACTGTATGAAGGGGTCGTGGACATTAAGAAAGAGACTTGAAAACGCCCACCTTCCCTTGGGGAGAAGGCCGGCTGGGCGGTGACCCTTCCCTTGGTCACTTGGGGGCGTGGCCTCCACCTGGGCCCCGCCCCTTTCAGTGCCAGGCTCCTCCCCCTCCTCCCTCTTCTTCCTCCAGAGAAGGAGTCTTGCTTGTGGGGGGCGATGGAGGCGTCGTCGCGGAGGGAGGGTGCCTCGTTGGGCCGGAGCCTGTGCGTGGTGACGGGGGCGTCCCGGGGTCTGGGCCGGGCCGTGTGCCTCCGCCTGGCCGGCGCCCTCTCTCCGGGCTCGGCGCTGCTCCTCTCGGGCCGGGCGGAGGCGCCGCTGCGGGAGGTGGAGGCGCTGCTCCGCCGGGACTGGCCCCGCCTCCGCCCCCGCGCCCTCCCCGCAGACCTGGACCACCCCCACGCCGCCCCCACCCTCCTCCAAGCCGCCACCGAAGCCCGCCGCCAGATGGAGGAAGGGGAAGGGGGCGCCCCCCCCCAAAGGCTCCTCCTCGTCAACAACGCCGGTGAGCAAGAGGGGCAGCCAGAGGGAAGGACCCCCAGGGAGAGGCTCCTCGAGCCCTCCCGACAGAGGCCCATTCAGAGAAGGAAGGAGAGCCCACTGGACTCCAGGCAGCAGCAGCAGGTCTCCCATTAGACTTTGGGGAGGGGGTCACCCTGAAGGCCATCCAGTCCAGCCCCTTCTTTTGGCTCGGCAGGAAGGCACCATCCAAGCCCTCCCGACAGAGGCCCATTCAGAGAAGGAAGGAGACTCTACTGGACTCCAGGCAGCAGCAGCAGGTCTCCCATTAGACTTGGGGGGGGGGGAGCCTGAAGGCCATCCAGTCCAGCCCCTTCTTTTGGCTCGGCAGGAAGGCACCATCCAAACCCTCCTGACAGAGGCCCATCCAGAGAAGGAAGGAGAGCCCACTGGACTCCAGGCAGCAGCAGCAGGTCTCCCATTAGACTTTGGGGAGGGGGTCACCCTGAAGGCCATCCAGTCCAGCCCCTTCTTTTGGCTCGGCAGGAAGGCACCATCCAAGCCCTCCCGACAGAGGCCCATTCAGAGAAGGAAGGAGACTCTACTGGACTCCAGGCAGCAGCAGCAGGTCTCCCATTAGACTTTGGGGAGGGGGTCACCCTGAAGGCCATCCAGTCCAGCCCCTTCTTTTGGCTCGGCAGGAAGGCACCATCCAAGCCCTCCCGACAGAGGCCCATTCAGAGAAGGAAGGAGACTCCACTGGACTCCAGGCAGCAGCAGCAGGTCTCCCATTAGACTTTGGGGAGGGGGGTCACCCTGAAGGCCATCCAGTCCAGCCCCTTCTTTTGGCTCGGCAGGAAGGCACCATCCAAGCCCTCCCGACAGAGGCCCATTCAGAGAAGGAAGGAGACTCTACTGGACTCCAGGCAGCAGCAGCAGGTCTCCCATTAGACTTTGGGGAGGGGGTCACCCTGAAGGCCATCCAGTCCAGCCCCTTCTTTTGGCTCGGCAGGAAGGCACCATCCAAACCCTCCTGACAGAGGCCCATCCAGAGAAGGAAGGAGAGCCCACTGGACTCCAGGCAGCAGCAGCAGGTCTCCCATTAGACTTTGGGGAGGGGGTCACCCTGAAGGCCATCCAGTCCAGCCCCTTCTTTTGGCTCGGCAGGAAGGCACCATCCAAGCCCTCCCGACAGAGGCCCATTCAGAGAAGGAAGGAGACTCCACTGGACTCCAGGCAGCAGCAGCAGGTCTCCCATTAGACTTTGGGGAGGGGGTCACCCTGAAGGCCATCCAGTCCAGCCCCTTCTTTTGGCTCGGCAGGAAGGCACCATCCAAGCCCTCCCGACAGAGGCCCATTCAGAGAAGGAAGGAGACTCTACTGGACTCCAGGCAGCAGCAGCAGGTCTCCCATTAGACTTTGGGGAGGGGGTCACCCTGAAGGCCATCCAGTCCAGCCCCTTCTTTTGGCTCGGCAGGAAGGCACCATCCAAGCCCTCCCGACAGAGGCCCATTCAGAGAAGGAAGGAGACTCTACTGGACTCCAGGCAGCAGCAGCAGGTCTCCCATTAGACTTGGGGGGGGGGGACCCAAAGGCCATCCAGGCCAGCCCCTGCTTTTGGCCAGGCAGGAAGAGGTTCCCCAAACCCTCCCGACAGAGGCCCATTCAGGCTCTGCATAAACTCCCCCAGAGAAGGAAGAAGACCCCCACCAGGCTCCCAGGAAGCAGTGTCTCATGCTGGGACAGGAAGGGTCCCCAAAGGGCATCCAGTCCAGCCCCTATTCTGCCAGGCACAATTCAAGCCTTCCCAACAGATGGCCATCCACCCACCCTCTGCTTAAACTGCCCCAGAGAAGGGAAGGAGTGGGAAGGAACCCCAATGGCTGTCCAGTCCAGCCCCTTTCAGCCAGGAGGTTATCCAAGCCCTCCTGACAGAAGCCCATTCAGAAGCTGCTGAATCTCCCCCAGAGACTGGACTCCAGGCAGCAGCAGGTCGCCCATTAGACTTGGTGGGGACGGACCCTGAAGGCCACCCAGTCCAGCCCCTTCTTTTGGCCAGGCAGGAAGGTACCATCCAAGCCCTCCTGACAGAGGCCCATCCAGCCTCTGCTTGAACTCCTCCAGAGAAGGAAGGACACCCCACCAGGCTCCCAGGCAGCAGTGTCTCCCGTTAGAGCAGGAAGGGACCTCCAAGACCAGTCCAACCTCTTTTCTGCCAGGTACAATTCAAGCCCTGCCAACAGATGTCCATCTACCCAGCCTCTGCTTAAAACTCCTCCAGAGAAGGAGACTCTACTGGACTCCGGGCAACAGCAAGTCTCCCATTAGAGAGGGAAGGGACCCCCTGAAGGCCATCCAGGCCAGCCCCTTCTTTTGGCCAGGCAGGAAGGAAGGCACCATCCAAGCCCTCCAGACAGAGGGCCACCCAGCCTCTGCTTGAACTCCTCCAGAGAAGGAAGGAGACCCCACCAGGCTCCCAGGAAGCAGAGTCTCATGCTAGAGCAGGAAGGGACCCCAAAGGGCATCCAATCCAGCCCTCTTCAGCGAGGAGGAAGAGGTGCTCCAAGCCCTTCCAACAGAGGCCCATTCAGGCACGGCTTAAACTCCCCCAGAGACTGAACTCAAGGCAGCAGCAGGTCTCCCATTAGATTTTTTTGGGGGGGGGGGGTCACCCTCAAGGCCATCCAGTCCAGCCCCTTCTTTTGGCCAGGCAGGAAGGCACCATGCAAGCCCTCCTAACAGAGGCCCATCCAGCCTTTGCTTGAACTCCTCCAGGGAAGGAAGGAGACCCCATCAGGCTCCCAGGAAGCAGTGTCTCATGCTAGAGCAGGAAGGAACCCCAAAGGTCACCCAGTCCAGCCCCCTTCAGCCAGGAGGAAGAGGTTCTCCAAGTCCTCCCAACCCATCCAAGACAGAGGCCCATTCAGGCTCTGCTTGAACTCCTCCAGAGAAGAAGGAGGTTCCCAGGAAGCAGTGTCTCATGCTAGAACAGGAAGAGACCTCCAAGACCATTGAGTCCAACCTCTTTTCTGCCAGGTACAATTCAAGCCTTTCCAACAGATGGTCATGCATCCAGCCTCTGCTTAAAGTCCCCCAAAGAAGGAGACTCCACTGGACTCCAGGCAGCAGCAGGTCTCCCATTAGAGCAGGAAGGGACCCCAAAAGCCAGTCTGGCCACCCCTTTTCTGCCAGGCACAATCAAAGCCTTTCTGACAAAGGCCCATCCAGCCTCTGCTTAAACTCCCCCAGAGAAGGAGACCCCACCAGCCTCTCAGGCAGCAGTTTCCTATTACAGTGGGAAGGGGGCAAGACCATCCAGTCCAGCCCCTTCTTTTGGCCAGGCAGGAAGGCACCACCCAAGCCCTTCCGACAGGCAGCCACCCAGCCTCTGCTTCAAAGCCTCCAGAGAAGGAGACTCCACCGGACTCCCAGGAAGCAGCAGATCCCTCTTTCTACCGTCACAAAGTTCTCTCTCCCATTCCCTGCAGCTTGACTCCATGACTCTCTTGTGTCCCAGCCTCCGGGGCAGCAGGAAACCAGCTTGGCCCCTTCCATCTAAATGAGACCTCCTTCCAGCCCTGGCTCTCTTTTCCTTCCTCTCAGCCTTCTCTTCTCCAGGCAAAACCTCTCCAGCTCTGCTCCTCAGAGGAAGTCCATGCTTCCCAGGTCTTCATTCAACCATGTTCTGGACATGCACCATGCTGTCACTCTCCTCCTTGTATTGTTTTGCCCAGAACTGGACCCAGGACTCCTTCAGGAGGCTTCACCCAAGCAGGAGAAGGTGGGACCAGGACCCCCCTCCCCTCCATCCAGGCACGAGACTCCTACAGGTGCTCCTACAGCTTTTCTAGCTGTGCAGCACACTCTTGGCACATATTCCACTTGTGGTCTCCTTCCACGTGGGACTGTTTCCAAGCCAGGTGTCTCCCATCCTAGATTTGTGTATTCCATTTCCTAATTGAAGTCGTGTCCCTTTCATCCTGCCATGCAAGGTTTCTGCACAATCTTGGGCATTGTAGTTGAATTCTAGAGTTGTCTCTGGTGCATCTACACTTGACTTGGGCAAACTTCAACCCTCCCTCCAGGTGTTTTGGACTGCCGGCTGTTAGGCATTATGGGAGTTGAAGTCCAAAGCACCTGGAAGGTTGAAGTTGACCCATGCCTGATTTGCACTGGAGAAGCTTCACCAGAACTGTGGCCCAATGCTGTGGAATCCTGGGAGGTGTGGCAGAATGAAAACTAGAACTTGCCAAACTAGAACTCCAGGGTCCCATCCCCTTGAGGCCAGCTGCCGGGATTCCTCCTCCGATCCCTTCTTCTCCTCTCTGTCAGAAATATTAAAAATTAACTTGGTGTTTTTAATTACAAAAATGTGAGTCAAACACTGTGTTGCAACCCAGAGCAGGAAACTGGACCCTCAGACAACAATCCACCACACTTGGCTTTATTGATGAAAGATGAATACAAAATAGAGGAAAAAATGCAAAGGTAAAAAGCCAAAGTAAAAATCAGCAACAAGAAATGTCCATAAACAAGATCATGAAACCCACAGCTAAACTGCTGAATCCTGGGACCTGTTAGCAAATCACTAACCGTACTTAGGGCAACTAGAAAACCTCCGAGGAACAAGGCTATTTGGATCAGGAGACCTGCAAACGCTGGCATATGAATCTGGAATGATGCCTGGTCTGAAGCTGGATTCAGAACAGGCATATTTAAGGCTAAGAAATCTATTGCGAGAGATGCCTGAGGATTTTGTTTGGATTTCTTTCAATCTGGCTGACCTGCGTAAACATTGGGCTTCTCCCCGACTCTGCCAAATCTGCCCCCACCTATCCTCATTAGGCAGGCCAGGTGCCTGATTCTCTGGAGAGCTAAAACTGGGAGGAAAAGGGAGTGAACCATCTCCACTTGGCCCGGAATGTATGTTCTCATGGGAATCTTGACTTTTGCTTTCAAAGGCTGTAGGATTTTCACTACTCAAACCATCATCAACTAAATTGGCCTCAGAATTCACATTGACATCTACATGGGCATCAGGAAATACAATCAGAGAGTCAGAGTCAGGTTCAAGTTCACACACAGGTTGAATCCCAACACACTGAAAGGGTTAAATGGATGCAGTGACTCAGCAAAAGCTGCAGTTCAATATAAACAGTAGGCTTGGTTGATCCAAAAAAAAAAAGGCTCAAAACTCATTTTGGATTTAGAGGGCACTGGTGGTTAATTCTAAAAACAATTCCGATTTTCACAGAAAAAAAAAATTCAAAACTTTTCGAAACTTCAGAGACATCTGAATCCTTTCCTTAATGGTTTGAAAGTGTTACTGCCTGTTTCATTGGGTGGTCTTTACTTTGAAAGTAGTTGTTTTACTCCAGAAGTGGGAAAAAGCAAGCGAAGGAAATTCCCTCCTTCTCTGGCTTTAAAACCAGCTTCTCTGGCTTTTAAACTGGCTTCTCTGGCTTGAGACAAAGCCAGGAAATTCCTTCCTTCTCTGGTTTAAAACTGGCTTCTCTGGCTTTTAAACTGGCTTCTCTGGCTTGAGCCGAAGCCAGGAAATTCCTTCCTTCTCTGGTTTAAAACTGGCTTCTCTGGCTTGAGATGAAGCCAGGAAATTCCTTCCTTCACTGGTTTAAAACTGGCTTCTCTGGTTTAAAACTAGCTTCTCTGGCTTGAGCCGAAGCCAGGAAATTCCTTCCTTCGCTGGTTTAAAACTGGCTTCCCTGGTTTAAAACTGGCTTCTCTGGCTTGAGCCGAAGCCAGGAAATCCCTTCCTTCTCTGGTTTAAAACTGGTTTCTCTGGCTTTAAAACTAGCTTCTCTGGCTTGAGCCGAAGCCAGGAAATTCCTTCCTTCTCTGGTTTAAAACTAGCTTCTCTGGTTTAAAACTGGCATCTCTGGCTTGAGCCAAAACCAGGAAATTCCTTCCTTCCCTGTTTTAAAACTAGCTTCTCTGGCTTAAAACTAGCTTCTCTGGCTTGAGCCGAAGCCAGGAAATTCCTTCCTTCTCTGGTTTAAAACTGGCTTCTCTGGTTTAAAACTGGCTTCTCTGGCTTGAGCTGAGGCTAGGGACCAGAAGCGGGGAAAAACTGAATAATTTCTGACTCACTTCCTGAGTTGTAACAAAAATGGTGGAAAAAGCTTCGGAAGGGCAAAGGGACTTCCGGTTTTCTTAAAAACGTCAAAATCATTTCAAAAAGGTTATTTTTCCGACTTTATTCCTAATTATGAAGATTCCGACAGTACCTAACCATGCCTAATTAGCAGGTGTGCCTGTAGCTTAGTAGCCCTCAGTCTGAGGTCAGCCTCAGTGGGAGAAAGGTCTCAGTCTGTGAGAAGGCCTCACAGTGTGAGATAGGCCTAAGTCTGTGAGAGAGGCCTCACCATGTGAGGTAGGCCTTAGTCTGTGAGAAGGCTGAGTGGGAGAAGGCCTGGTGTGAGATGAAAAACTTCAGTGAAAGAATCTCCAGGTTAAAGGCCTCATGTGTAAAGCTGTGTGTGAAAAGTTACTCTGTGAAGCTCCTGTGTAACTTCAGTGTAAGAAGAGACTCTGTGGGAGCAAAGATGTTTATCTGTATAAGAAAGAAGCCCAGTGTGGAAGCAAAGAAGGAAGTATACAGGACATTACTTGTGTCATGGTGTTGCATCCCAGATCAGGAAACGAGACCATAAGATTAAATCCACGACACTGGACTGTAGGAAAAGCAATCCTTTTTTATTGATGAAAGTAAGGTAAATAAATAAATAAATAAAAGTTGGTTACAAAAGAAAGGTAAATGCAAAGTCAAAAAGCCACAATAGAAACACAGCAGTCAGTAGAATCTCTGAACTTGAGCAAAATTCCAAAACCCACAATACAAGAACCAGGAACCTGTTAGCCTCTCGCTAACCATGAACTTAAAAACTAGAAGCCTCTGGGATTACCGGCCATGGAACACAGGAATTCTGCCAAGGCACAGCCACAGTCCCAAACGTTGCTTGATCTAAAGAGACACCCGGCAGGAGGCCCCTTAAACCAAAGAAGCTATTCCGTGAAACGCCCCTTGACTTTGAAGCCTGGGCCTGTCTCTCCTGTAATCTATTTGACCTTCGTAGAAACTGTGAATCATTCCTGTCTCTAACTATCTGTTCTCTTCGGTCCTCATTAAAAAACCCAGGTGGAAAGCTATCACGGATGGATTCCAAAACATTTTCCTCCGGCTGTTCAGTTTCACTTTCCTCGCCGCTGACCTCAGTATCAACAACAGTTTCCACACTGTCAGGGAGAGCTTGCTCAGTTGGAAATACTATCAGAGAATCAGGTTCACACAGATCAGGCTGAACCCCAACAGATCAGGCTGAACCCCAACACATGGTAACCTTGCTCTTGTAAATAGTGCAATCATATTGTTTTGCTATAAAGAAAAACCTCCTAAGGAAAAGATAATAACATTGGTCTGTGTGTTTTAGTTCTTTTTTACCACTTTGGTCTACAGATGCTGCTGCTAAGAAGTTCCTCTGCTGTACATTTATGGGGAGGGTCTTGTGTTACTAAGCCCACTCAGCTCACACTCTCCCTTGCAGGCTCCTTGGGGGACATCTCCAAGTCCTTCTGCGAGCTGACAGATGCGGCGGAGGTGGGCGCCTACCTGGGCCTGAACGTGACCTCCGCCCTCTGCCTCACGGCCAGCCTCCTCCAGGCCTTCCCTGCCCGGCCGGGCTTCCGCCGCACGGTGGTCAACATCTCCTCGCTGGCCGCCCTGCAGCCCTTCAAGAGCTGGAGCCTCTACTGCACCGGGAAGGCCGCCCGGGACATGATGTTCCGTGTGCTGGCCCAGGAGGAGCCGGACGTGCGTGTGCTCAGTTACGCCCCAGGTGAGCAGGAGGGGGGGTGTCTCTTGAGGGGGCTGACCCTTGACCTGCTCTGAAAGCAGCACCTGCAGCATCAGGGAAGGAAAATTTGGGGGGCCTGGGAAGCTCATGCTGTTCTCAGTTGCATTCACAAGGGGTGCGTCCGCACTGGAGAAAGGAAGACTGCTGCTCGGCCCCACTTGTACTGCTGTGCTTCAATGCTATACCATCCTGGGAGTTATAGTTTTATAAGGTCCTTACCCTGCAATAGAATTAATGCAGTTTTGACAACTGTTTCATTGCCATTGCCCAATACTATGGAATTCTGGGAGTTGTAGTTTTATAAGGACTTTAGTCCTTTGGATAATTAATGTAATTTTGGAAACAGATTAATTGCAAGAGGCATATATTTAATTTTCTTTAGGTTTTGTATTGTTATATTGTGTGTTGAGGCCTTGGCCTTTGTAAGCCGCATCGAGTCCTTCGGGAGATGCTAGCGGGGTACAAATAAAGTTTAATAATAATAATAATAATAATGATAATAATAATAATAATAATAATAATAATAATAATAATAATAATAATATGCCATAACCAGAGCTTGGAATTCTGCCCAGAAAGGGACTAATAATCCCAGAATGGGAGGGAGTTCGGATGCATCTGCTCTGCAGAATTTAGGCAGTTTGACACCATCTTGAACTGCTATTGTTCAATGCTTTGGAAAGATGGGATGCTCCGAACTCTTTGCAGAGAAGCCTGAAAAAGACCTTTCAAAACTCACAGGATTCCATAGTTTTGTTACCATTGTAGTGAAAGTGGGGTGAACCTGCATTAGTTCTACAGTGTGGATGCAGCCGCAACCTATTTGGCCTTTGTTTCACCCTCTGGCCCGCCCGCCTTCCTTCCTTCCTTCCTTCCTTCCTTCCTTCCTTCCATCCATCCTTCCTTCCTTCCATCCATCCTTCTTTCCTTCCTTCCTTCCTTCCTTCCTTCCTTCCATCCATCCATCCATCCTTCTTTCATTCCTTCCTTCATTCCTTCCTTCCTTCCTTCCATCTTTACTTCCTTCCTTCCTTCCTCTCTTTCTTCCTCCTTCTTCCCTCCCTCCCTCCCTCCTCCCCTCCCTCCTCCTTCCTCCCTCCCTTCCTTCCTTCCTTCCTTCCTCCTTCCTTTCCTTTTTCCTTCCTTCCTTCCTTCCTTCCTTCCTCCTTCCTCCTTTCTTTCTTCCTTCTTTCCTCCTCTTCCTCTCCCCTCCCTCCCTCCCTCCCTCCCTCCCTTCCCTCCTTCTCTCCTTCCTTCTTTCCTCTTCTTTCTTTCCTTCCCTTCCTTCTTCCCTCCCTTCTCCCTTCCTCTCCTCCCTCCTTCCTTCCTTCTTCTTCCTTCCTTCCTCCTTCCTTCCTTCCTTCTCCTTCCTTCTTCTTCTTCCTCTTCTTCTTCCCTTCCATCCATCCATCCATCTTTCCTCCCTCCCTCCCTTCTTCCCTTCCTTCTTCCCTTCCATCCTTCCTTCTTTCCTTCCTTCCTTCCTTCTTCCGTTCCTTCCTTCTTCCCTTCTTTCTTTCTTTCCCTCCTTTTTTCCTCTTCCTTCCTTCCTTCCTTCTCCTTCCTTCCTTCCTTCCTTCTTCCCTTCCTCCTCCATCCATCTTTCCTCCCTCCCTCCCTCTTTCTTCCTCCCTTCCTTCCTTCTTCCTTCCTTCCTTCCTTCCTTCCTTCCTTCCTTCCTTCCTTCCTTCCTTCTTCCGTTCCTTCCTTCTTCCCTTCTTCCTTTCTTTCTTTCTTTCTTTCCCTCCTTTTTTCCTTCTTTCCTTCCTTCCTTTTTTCTTCCTTCCTTCCTTCCTTCCTTCCTTCCTTCCTTCCATCCATCCATCCATCCTTTCTTTCTTCCTCCTTTCCATCCTTCCTTCCTTCCATCCATCCATCTTTCCTTCCTTCCTTCCCTCCAGGCCCCTTGGACACTGACATGCAGGAAGAGGTGCGCAGCAAGAGCGGAGACCCCGAATTAAGGCGGATGTTCCTGGCAATGAAAGAGGAGGGCAAACTGCTGGACTGCGACGTCTCGGCCCAGAAGCTGCTGGACCTCCTCCTGGACGACACCTTTGAGTCGGGGGCCCACGTGGACTTCTATGACCCCTGAAGAGGCCCCTCCCTCCCTCCCTCCCACTCACCCGAAGCCCCTTGCCCAGCCCTTCCTTCCTTGCATTGCGGAGGAGGCCTTCCCTTCCCTTCTCCTCTCTGTGTAACGTATACTCCCTTCTCTGCAGATTTCGTATCAATGAGGGCTTTGCGGAAGGTTTCCCAACATTCTGAAAAATAGGAGGAACTCCATGACGTTGCAGAGTCTGCATTTTGTGGACCTCCCCAAATTCCCATGCTGCCTGTGGGATTCTGGGAGCTGTAGTCCCAACAAGTAGCTTTCCCCACCTTTGCTTTGACGTGCCTTTGATTGCACATGGAATGTGCTGTGTGTGTATTTTCTTCTGAGTTTCAGTGCCCATACAAATACTGGACAAGGAATCTTTTCCCTGGAAAATAATTCCATGACGAAGGAGTGTAGCCTTGTGGTTTCTAGGCCTTGCACGGTGAATCCACTCTGGGTTTTAGTCTGAATTTGGGTGCATCTACATTGTCGAATGAATACAGTTTAGATGCCCCTTTCACTGCCACGACTCAGTGCGACACCATCCTGGGAGTAATAGTTTTTCAAGGATTTGGGCCTTCTCTGCTAAAGAGGGTGATACCTGACCAAACGCCAACTTCCAGGAGTCCAGCGCATGAAGTTATGGCCGTTCAAGTGGTGCCAAACTACATTAATTCTACCAAGTAGAATCACAGTTTGTGGACAGCCAAGGAAGTATTTTCTTCCCTTGGCATCGGCAAATAGCCACCCAGAGCATCTGTTTTGAAGGGTCCTTTTGTAAGCTGGTCAATGCAGACATTCAGCTCATGCCACAGCCCATTTGGACTCATTTGCCATGCATTTTGCAGATAAAAGTGCTGAGATTTGTTCTGACTTGGACTCTGACATTCATATCGTTCTGGCGGATGTCCGCCTGGCCATTGCGTTCCAAAGCGAATGGACTCTTCTCTCTCTGAACAGGTTGGCCATGTTGGGCAATGAGAGTCATCTCATGGTTTTCCAGATACTTGTATAATAATAATAATAATTGGCCAAGGGAGTGGTCAGTGCTTCTCTAGGCCAAGGCAGAGTCCCAACTGTCCAAAGGAAGCTGCTGTTTGGAGGAAGAGTCGGTCTCTATGGCAGAGGCGAGTGCAGCGCAACCAGTGCTATGTATGAGCTGATGGTAGGAAATAGGAGGAAAAATGCTAAGTTTAGAAAGGGTACAAATCTTCTTTTAATGCTGCAGGTATAAAAGAATAGGTAGTGTCTTTTCACTATGGCCCAAAACCTCCAGCATCTCTGTCCAATCAGACACAAGAAGCAACGAGGTTGTTCAACAGGTTTATTTGGCCAAATCACCCTGCTGGGTGAACACGAAAAAAGTGCCACACAGACTGAGACACTGCTTCGTTATTTATAGTCAACACTTTGAGTATATGGTTGCTGTGAGTTTCTGGACTGTATGGCCATGTTTCAGCAGCATTCTCTCCTAATGTTTCACCTGCATCTGTGACTAGTATTTTCAGATGTTCTGTTTGCAGTGAGGCAAGTTTATTTATTTCCAATATTTCTATCCCGCCCTTATCAACCCCCTTCTACACTCCCCTATAAAATTCAGATTGTTTTTGAACTGGATTCTATAATAATAATAATAATAATAATAATAATAATAATAATAATAATAATAATATAAAACTTTATTTATACCCCGCCACCATCTCCCCAAGGGACTCGGAGCGGCTTACATGAGGCCAAGCTTGACAACACATCAATAAACAAAAAAGCAACAAACAAAAAACAGTACAATTAATAGAAGTCACATATAAACAATAACACACAAAGATTTAAAAACCTATGGCTGCACCAAAAGTAATAGTTTAAAACTAAAAAATAAATGCTGGGCATGAACAACGGTAGGATATATCTGGTAGGAGGGTTTTAAAAGAAGTGAAGGGAGCGCAATCCAACGAATAGTTAAAGTGCTTCTGAGGACATTTTGCTGGGAATTATTTCCTTATTCTGGGAAGGCACACTGGAACAGCCACGTTTTCGGGCTCCTGCTAAAGACTGCCAATGTTGGGACATGCCTGGGAAGTGAGTTCCAGAGTCGGGGGAGTGAGTTCCAGAGTCGTGGGGCCGCCACCAAAAAGGCCCTCTCCCTCGTCCCCACCAATTGCGCCTGCGAGGGGGGCGGGATCGAGAGCAGGGCCTCTCCAGATGATCAAAGAGATTGTGTAGGTTCGTACACAGAGATGCGGTCACGCAGGTAGGCAGGTCCCAACCATTCAGGGCTTTGTAGGTAAGAACCTGCACCTTGAATTGGGACTGGAAAATGAATGGCAGCTCCTTAAACGGGGGGGTTGACCGCTCCCTGTAAGTCCCTGTATGGCAGTGTAGACCCATCTAATTCAAAGCAGATAGTCCAGATAATCTGTAGACTCATATAACCCATATCAAAGCAGATAATCTGGATTATATGGCGGTATAGGATGGGCCTCATATAACCCAGTCCAAAGCAGAGCCTCTGGATTATCTGCTTTGATCATCTTGATTATCTATCGGTTTAGATCCAGCCTTTGATGGAACAAAGAGGCTCTCATTCAGTTCAGCACCAAGGGGCCTGCAGAAAGGATACTTCTCAAAGGCAGTCATTCATTTGCTTTCCAAACCAGCAATATTTGGGTGAAAGGGCTTCATTTACATAGACTTATCCATGCCTAATTTTATGCTCATTTCTCGCTATATGAACATTCTCAGATGAACAGGCACAGAGTAGGATAAGCCAACGCTGTCTGTAAATGCAGACGGCTATATATTCCTGTTCAGCTTTACATGCTTCAGCAAAAACTAAACTTTGGGGAACTATTCTCCAAGTTGGTTTCCTCTACTTTCTGCTGAAAGAATAAAGACTCTGATTGATTTCCGCATTTGGAGGGTTCCTCTCTTTCTTAAAAACAGACTACAAGACTGTTTATAAGGTGGGTGCTAGAAACAATATCATACAAAAGCTGACTGGCACAACCTGGGGATCACAACCAGACACAGTGAAGACATCTGCCCTTGCGCTGTGCTACTCTGCTGCTGAGTACGCATGCCCAGTGTGGAACACATCTCACCACACTAAAACAGTGGATGTGGCTCTTAATGAGACATGCCGCATTATCACGAGGTGCCTGCGCCCTACACCACTGGAGAAATGACACTGCTTAGCCGGTATTGCACCACCTGACATCCGCTGGGAAGTAGCAGCCAATAGTGAAAGGACCAAGGCAGTGACATCTCCAGCTCATCCCTTGTTTGGTTATCAGCCACATGTCAACGACTTAAATCGAGAAATAGTTTTCTAAGATCTACAGAGACACTCGCTGGAACACCCCAGCAAGCAAGAGTCCAAAAGTGGCAGGCTCAAACCCAGAACCTCAACCAATGGCTGATACCAAATGAGAGACTCCCCCCTGGGCACACAGAAGACTGGGCGACTTGGAAGGCGCTGAAGAGACTGCGCTCTGGCACCACAAGATGCAGAGCCAAGTCTTCATCAGATAGTTGCAGGATTTTCCGGAGGCAGCGCTGATGGAATCATTCCAGGAGTTGCATGTGACGTCTGTAGACAGTCCACGTCTCACAGGCATATAGCAGGGTTGGGAGGACAATAGCTTTATAGACAAGCACCTTGGTCTCCGTACGGATGTCCCGGTCCTCAAACACTCTCTTCAGGAAAATGCTGCACTTGCAGAGCTCAGGCGGTGTTGTATTTCGGCGTCGATGTTGACTTTGGTGGAGAGGTGGCTGCCAAGGTAGCGGAAATGGTCAACATTTTCTAATGTTACACCATTAAGCTGTATCTCTGGCATTGGAGAGGGGTTGGCTGGTGACTGCTGGAACAGCACTTTGGTTTTCTCGATGTTCAATGACAGGCCGAACTTCTCGTATACTTCTGCAAAGGTGTTTAGAGTGGCTTGTAGATCTTCTTCTGAATGCCCTTAGATGACATTGTCATCAGCAAACTGGAGTTCTATAACAGATGTTGTTGTAATCTTGGTTTTGGCTTTCAGTCTGCTGAGAATAGCTTGCCATCTGTCCGATAGATGATTTCCACTTCAGTGGGAAGCTTCCCATCAACAAGGTGAAGTATCATAGCAATGAAGATGGAAAATAAAATTGGGGCAATAACACATCCCTTTTTGACATCTGATTCCACCTTAAATGGGTCACTTTGGGAGCCATTGCTGTCCAAGACTGTTGCCATCATGTCATCATGGAGGAGCCGCAGGATGTTCACAAATTTGTTGTTGTTGTTATTTATTATTATTATTATTACTAGGTTCTTGTAGGTTTTTTCGGGCTATAGGGCCATGTTCTAGAGGCATTACTCCTGACGTTTCGCCTGCATCTATGGCAAGCATCCTCAGAGGTAGTGAGGTCTGTTGGAACTAGGAAAATGGATTTATATATCTGTGGAATGGCTGGGGTGGGGCAGAGAGCTCCTCTCTGCTGGAGCTAGGTGTGAATGTTTCAACTGACCACCTTCATTAGCATTTGAAGGCCTGGCTGAGCCTGGGAAAATCTTTTGTTGAGAGGTGTTAAGATGTGCCTGTTTGTTTCCTCTCTGTTGTTTTGCTGTTGTAATTTTAGAGTTTTTAATACTGGTAGCCAGATTTTGTTCATTTTCATGCTTTCCTCCTTTCTGTTGAAATTGTCCACATGCTTCTTATGGATTTCAATGGCTTCTCTGTGTAGTCTGACATGGTGGTTGTGAGGGTCTCACCTCTGCAGGAGTCTACCGTATACCATGCAGCTGTGGACAAGTCTACATAGGGACCACCAAGCGCAGCATTGCCCAAACACGAATCAAGGAACATGAAAGGCACTGCAGACTACTTCAACCAGAGAAGTCAGCCATAGCAGAGCACCCGAGGAACCAACCTGGACACAGCATATTATTTGAGAACACAGAAATGCTGGACCACTCTCACAACCACCATGTCAGGCTACACAGAGAAGCCATTGAAATCCACAAGCATGTGGACAATTTCAACAGAAAGGAGGAGACCATGAAAATGAACAAAACCTGGCTACCAGGATTTAAAAACTCTAAAATCACAACAACAAAACAGCAGAGAGGAAACAACCAGGCACATCTTAAAACCTCTCAACAGGGGATTTTCCCAGGCTCAGCCAGGCCTTCAAATGCTAATGAAGGTGTCAGTTGAAACATTCACACCTAGCTCCAGCAGAGAAGAGCTCTTTGCCCCACCCCAGCCATTCCACAGATATATAAACCCTTTGTCCTATTTCCAACAGACCTCACTACCTCTGAGGATGCTTGCCATAGATGCAGGCGAAACGTCAGGAGAAATGCCTCTAGAACATGGCCCTATAGCCCGAAAAAACCCACAAGAACCTAGTGATTCCAGCCATGAAAGCCTTCGACAATACATTGTATTATTATTCTTTTATTTCATTATTTTATTGATATTATTAATTATTATTATTATACTTATATCATTTTGTAATACTAATATTGATTATTTTATTGATGTTATTGTTATTAATTAATGTATTATTATTATTATTAATTATTATTATTATTATTAAGGCAGGCAGCAGCAACAATAACAACAATCCGGAATGGAAAACAAGGCTTCACGCGCCACCTACTGGTCGCAGTGGGGAACGCAGCAATAAGAGTCCAAGGGAAGGCGAGGTGGCGATGCGCGCGCAGCCCGCTCCTCCTTTTTGTTTTTCCTCCCTCCCTGAGCAAGGGGGGGCGTGGCCTGGCGGGGGCGATGCGCGCGCATCTCGCTCCTCCTTTTTGTTTTTCCTCCCTCCCTGAGCAAGGGGGGGCGTGGCCTGGCGGAGGCGATGCGCGCGCATCCCGCTCCTCCTTTTTGTTTTTCCTCCCTCCCTGAGCAAGGGGGGGCGTGGCCTGGCGAGGGCGATGCGCGCGCATCTCGCTCCTCCTTTTGTTGTCACTCCGTGAGAGGGCGCTGTTTCTCTTCCGGACTACGCTTCCCGTCAGGCCGAGCGGCGGCGTCTCCAGGGGGCGTGGCGGTTGCCATTGCTACGGGCAGGCGGAGGGGCGCGGCCTAGGCCCGGACGGAGCCTGCCTGGTTTCCCGACTCCCGGCCGCGCCTCAGCTCGGCTCGGCTGTCTTCGGGCTCCGATGGCGTCCTCGGCGGCGGCGGGGGAGAGCCTGGAGGCGGCGGCCGAGCACGAGCGCATCCTGCGGGAGGTGGACAGCACCGACACGGCCTGCCTGGGGCCCACCCTCCGGTGAGAAGGGAAGGGAAGGGAAGCCGGAAGGCAGAAGGCCCGCCCTCTTGGCCCCTCACCCTGCCAGGACCACAACACATTTATTATTTACTTTACTATTTATTTACTTTATTTTGTATAATAAATATTTATACTGTATAATAAATAAATACAAATATCTATTATATATTTGTATAAGAAATATTTGTATAATAAACATTGCTTCCCATCACCTCCACTTAGAAAATGTGATATAGTCATAGCCTGGCAGCTTGACCATAGTAAGATATATGGCTGAATGTGAGCCAGGGGTGGGGTGCAGCAGCACAAAAGGCCAAGGCGATTCTAACCTGGATCAATGAGAATCTAATGTCTGGATGGAGGGAAGTAACCTGGATCAATGAGAATCTAATGTCTGGATGGAGGGAAGTAACATAGCCTTGGCCTGGTGATAGTATGGCTGAATATGGTCCAAGGGTGTCATGCAGCAGCTCAAAAGGCCAATGCGATTCTAACCTGGATCAATAAGAGTCTAATGTGTGGATGGAGGAAAATAACATAGCCTTGGCCTGATGATAGTAAGATATATGGCTGAATGTAAGCCAAGGGTGTGATGCAGCAGCTCAAAAGGCCAATGCGATTCTAACCTGGATCAATAAGAGTCTAATGTCTGGATGGAGGAAAGTAATACAGCCATGGCCTGATGATAGTATGGTTGAAAGTGAGCCAAGGGTGTGATGCAACAGCACAAAAGCCCAATGCGATTCTAACCCGGATCAATAAGAGTCTAATGTCTGGATGGAGGGAAATAATATAGCCCTGGCCTGACTATAGTAAGATATATGGCTGAATGTGAGCCAAGGTTGTGATGCAGCAGCACAAAAGGCCAATGCGATTCTAACCTGGATCAATGAGAATCTAATGTGTGGATGGAGGAAAGTAATATAGCCATGGCCTGATTATAGTAAGATATATGGCTGAACGTGAGCCAAGGGTGTGATGCAGCAGCACAAAAGGCCAATGTGATTATTCTATGGCTGCGTCAATAACAGTCTAATGTCTGGATGGAGGAAAGTAACATAGCCTTGATAATACTATGGCTGAATGTGGGCCAAGGACATGATGCAGCAGCTCAAAAGGCCAATGCGATTATTCTAGGCTGCATCAATAAGAATCTAATGTTTGGAGGAAAATAACAGAGACATGGCCTGATTATAGTAAGATATATGGCTGAATGTGAGCCAGGGGTGTGATGCAGCAGCTCAAAAGGCCAATGTTATTCTAACCTGGATCAATAAAAGTCTAATTTTTGGATGAAGGAAAGAAATATAGCCATGGCTTGATGACAGTATGACATATGGCTGAACATGAGCCAAGGCTGTCATACAACAGCAGAAAAGGCCAATGCGATTATTCTAGGTTGCATCAATAAGAATCTAATGTTGGAGGATAGTAATATTGCCATGGCCTGACTATAGTAAGATACATGGCTGAACGTGAGCCAAGGGTGTGATGTCGTAGCAGAAAAGGGCAATGCGATTATTCTAGGCTGCATCAATCAGAGTCCAATGTCTGGATGGAGGAAAGTAATATATCTTTGGCCTGATGATAGTATAGCTGAACGTGAGCCAAGGCTGTCATGCAGCAGCAGAAAAGGCCAATGCTATTCTAAGGTATTATATTTTAGGTAGAAGAATTGAACTGTCTATATCAGCCATGGGCCAACTTGGGCCCTCCAGATGTTTTGAACCCCAACTCCCACGGTTCCAAACAGCCAGTAGAACCGAAGTTTACCTGTGTCTGATCTATATACATATATAGAGATAGATGATGATGGCCTTGAAAACAGTCCATGCGAAAGGGATCTCGGAGTCATAGTGGACCCCAGTGTGATGCGGCAGCTAAAAAGGCCAATACAATTCTAGTCTGCATCCAGAGCAGTCTCGTGTCTGAATGGAGGAAAGTAAGATAGCTATGGCTTGACAATAGTGATATATATGACTAAACGTGAGCCGAGAGTGTGATGTGGCAGCAGAAAAGGCCAATGTGTCTCTAGGCAGCATCAAAAAGAGTCCAATGTCTGGATGGAGGAAAGTAATATAGCCATGGCTTGATGATAGTAAGATATATGGCTGAACGTGAGCCAGGGATGTGATGCAGCAGCTCACAAGGCCAATGTGATTCTAGTCTGCATCCAGAGGAGAATAGTGTCTGAATGGAGGAAAGTAAGATAGCCATGGCTGTATGATAGTATGGCTGAACGTGAGCCAAGTGTATGATGCAGCAGCGGAACAGGGCCAATGTGATTATTCTAGGTTGCATAAACAAGAGTCTAATGTTTGGATGGAGTCTTAGCGGACTCCAAGCTTAACATGAGCCCACAGTGTGATGCGGCAGCTAAAAAGGCCAATGTGATTCTAGTCTGCATACAGAGAAGGCTGTGTCTGAATGGAGGAAAGTAAGATAGTCATGTCTTAACAATAGTGATATATATGACTGAACGTGAGTCAAGGATGTCATGCAGCAACGGAAAAGGCGACTCAAGGCTGCATCAAAAAGAGTCCAATGTCTGGATTAGGGGTCCTCAAACTTTTTAAACTGAGGGCTAGGTCACAGTTTCTCAAACTGTTGGAAGGCTGAATGAATTCCTACACACACTGCACATATCTTATTTGTAGTGCAAAATACACTTAAAAACAATACAATAATTAAGATGGAGAACAATTTTAACAAATATAAACTTATTAGTATTTCAGTGGGGAGTGTGGGTCTGCTTTTGGCTGATGAGATAGGATTGTTGTTGTTGTGTGCTTTCAAGTTGTTTCAGACTTAGGTTGACCCTGAGCGAGGGCCGGGTAAATGACCTTGGAGGGCCGTATCTGTATCCATGCCGATTGGCATGGACCTGCAGGTCTCTGAGTCAGGGGATTGAATGTGGAACTCGCTGCCGCAAGATGTTGGGTTGGCATCCACTTTTCGAGCTTCTTCAGGCAGTTCAATATAGGGAGAGGGTTTTCTTGGCATTCTCCCTCTCATTAAAAAAATATCCTTAGGTGTTTTCTGGCATTTTATTTCATTTATTTGCCAAGACACTTCTGTCATTCCCTTCAGGACGGGATGTCAGGAGGATATAGAAAGCAAACGATATAAAACCTTTCCAGATTGAACCCATAAATAACTCAGAAGCACTAGCCGAAACCTTCTCTCCACTGAAAAAGGTTTCTCTTTCAATCTGAGACTTATTGGAAAATAACAATTATTACTATGGCTTAAGGTGGGATACAACATAGTAAAAACATATTACCATAAGAAAGGTAAAAGTTTCCCCTTGACATTAAAGTCTCGTTGTGTCCGACTCTGAGGGGTGGTGCTCATCTCCATTTCTAAGCCAAAGAGCTGGCGTTGTTCATAGACACCTCCTAGATAAAGTGGCCAACATGACTACATGGAATGCTATTACCTTCTCGCAGAAGCGGTACCTATTGATTTACTCACTTTTGCATGTTTTTGAACTGTTAGGTTGGCAAGAGCTGTGCAGTGGGATAAAGCGCTGAGCTGAGCTGCTGAACTGCTGACCGAAAGGTCACAGGTTAGATTCTGGGGAGCGGCGTGAGCTTCTGCTGTCAGCCTAGCTTCTGCCAACCTAGCAGTTCGAAAACATGCAAATGTGAGTAGATCAATAGGTACCGCTCTGACGGGAAGGTAACGGCACTCCATGTAGTCATGCCGGCCACATGACCTTGGAGGTGTCTACGGACAACGCTGGTTCTTTGGCTTAGAAATAGAGATGAGCACCAGAGTCCCAGAGTCGGACACAACTGGACTTAATGTCAGGAGACAACCTTTACCTTTACCTTACCATAAAATACATATATTAAAATACATAGTACAAAAGTCAAAATCCAGTACAAATAAAATGTACATTTAAAATTCACAGTTTAATATTGAGTAGGTAGGCTTGCTAGAAGAGATAATTCTGATAAAAAAGTTTCCTCTTCTGTTCTTCTCTCTCCTTTTTAATTTTTTGTTTCCCATAGAGCCATCGTGCATCAGCGAAAAGGAACTTTTTTTGCTCTATAAGTTTAAGAATCTTTTAAAAGAATCTCCGTAGAGGATCGTATTTGCCCTTGAAACTGTAAATTGCCCTTAAAAACCATGCCCCAGTTTTAAAAACATATTTGCGCAGATCCAGGAAATCACTACAGACTTCGGGTTGCTGTAGGTTTGTTCGGGCTATATGGCCATGTTCTAGAGGTATTCTCTCCTGACGTTTCGCCTGCATCTGTGGCAAGCATCCTCAGAGGTTGCCATAGATGCAGGTGAAACATCAGGAGAGAATGCCTCTAGAACATGGCCATATAGCCTGAAAAAAACCTACAACAACCCAGTGATTCCAGCCATGAAAGCCTTCGACAATACAGACATCCTTCAGAAGAAAGTGGAACGTTGAGTTGCAAGGCTGTCCTCTCCTTGCATCTCTCTCTCCTCCTGCCCAGTTTTCCAAACTACGATCTGGAAAACTAGTAGAGTCTGTGGATCCCTGCAGCACCCCCCCCCCCCCCCCAATCTTCTAGGTCCTGTTTCAAAGGCCTCTTGGGAGCAGGGAAGGTCTTCCTCTCCATCCATCGGCCTACACAAACCCAACTGTTGATGAAGCAGGAGACCCAGTGGGCCAGCCGTGAAAACTCCCACAGGATTTTATGGATGTTTCTTCTTTGCTCCCCTTCCATCCATGGATCAGTTTGGTTGCTGTGAGTTTTCCAGGCTATATGGTCATGTGTGCCAGCTGCGCCCACACCTTGGGAAGTCTGACTTGGCCATGGTTATATCCCGTATAGATTACTGCAACGCTCTCTATGTGGGGTGGCCTCTGAAGACTGCCCGGAAGCTGCAATTAGTCCAGCGCTCGGCAAGCAGGCTACTGACAGGAGCTGGGTACAGGGAGCGCACAACTCCCTTGTTGCGCCAACTCCACTGGTTGCCAATTAGCTTCCGAGCACAATTCAAAGTGCTGGTTTTAA